TCGGCAGCCCGGACGCGCGGCGCGCTGCAGGCGCTGCTCTGGGGGCCGGGGCCGGAGCTGCGCGGCCGTGGAGCCCCGCTCGGGCCCTGGCTGCGGGCTCGCCGCGCGCTGCTGGTCCTGCACCTGGCCGAGCGGGCTGCGGGTGGAGGAGCGCCCGGCCTGGAGGACTGGCTGTGCTGTGAATACTTGGCCGAGGCCACCGAGGCCTTGCTGAGCCAGGCCCTGGTGCTGCTGTGGGACTGACCCCAACCCGGAGCCGATACACCTGGCCCAGGGCCTGTCCAGGAGGCAGGCATCCCTTCCCAGAGCTGGGGGCCCATGGCCCGCCTGTGTCTCCACCATAGACAACGTAGATTGCAGGCCCCTCCAACGCCTGCCCTCTCATATGCTGGGGACTCCCCAAGGGCTCCCCAAGAGTGCAGCTGCCTGCTCCAGGGCACCTCTCTGATGCCAGGGCCACCACCACCCCTCTTCCAGGGGTACACACTCCCTGCCAATCAATGTCTCTCTGAATATGTCCCACCTTGCAGGCCTGTCGCTGTCTCCATAGGAGTGTGAACACTGTCTTTCCAAAGCCGGGCCAAAATCATTTCTGGCCCTGCAGCACCCCGTCATGCCGAGGATGCCGAGCGACTCTGAGAGTGTGAATGGCCCAGTCCCTTGTGGAGAACTGCCTGTGCTCACAGGCTGGGGGTGGGGCTCCCTGGAGCCTTAGACACCCAGCCACCCTGGGGGAGTCCGGACTGTCCTGCCCGCAAGCCTCGCATGCTGTCCCTGCCACCTCCCTACTCTCTCCCCACCCCGCGGCCCCCTCCCTGTTGCTTCCAGCCTCCAAGCCTTTGTATGGGCTGTTCCTCTGCCAGACTTTTCCAATCCCACCTCCTCTAAGCAAATAAAGTCACCCTCCCTCTGGTCGCTCGCTGCCTCCTAGCCCTGTTCTCTCCCCGCCACAGCAGGTATCACCACTTGGACGTATTTATTGTTAGCGTCTGTGAGGCTGTGAGCTCTCTGAGGGCAAGGCCAGGCTTACCACACAGTAGGTGCTCAATTAATAGCCTAAGATGATAGAATCAGCAAGCGAGCAGAGACAAGACTCCTCAGGGGCCCCTGTTTACACCTATGAAATATGAACCCAGCAGCTCTGAGCGGTCCCTCTGCCCTCACCTGAGGGCTCCTCTCTGGAGGTGCCCCCATCCCATCCCCCATGGCAATCCTGGGGGGATCTTTCTAACCCCCAGGTATGACCAGGTCCTCTCTCCTGCTCAAACACCTCTCATGGCTCCCTAGTGCCCTCAGGATACACACAGGGCTCTTGCAAAGGCTCTTCGAACTCTCTCTGGCCAACCCCTCATGCCACACTGCTCATCTGCAGAACTGCTTTCTGGCTGCCAGGCCTTTGCCCATGTTACGTCTCCTTCGTTCTGCTTCAGACTCCTCCTATTCATCCCTGAACACCTGGGCTCCAAAGCCCTTTCCCTGCATTTGCATCGGCCAAACGGGCTGAGAGCGTGTATCCAGCCCTGTCCTCACAGCCGACCCCACCGTCACTCAGATGCCTGGACGTCTCACCCCTCCAGGTCTGCCCCACCCTCTGAGCTCCCCCCTCCTCTAGGAAGGGCCCCTTTCCCGCCAATCCCAGCCAAGGCCTGGCTGGGCGGCGCTCCTGGATGCAGCCAGCAGGTGGCGCTGCGGCCACGCGGACCTTGGCGGGGGCGGGCCCGGAAGTGACTGTCCAGTCGGCTCCTCCCGGCGCCCAGAGCCCTCGGCTTTGGCCTACACCCCGCAGTGCGGCCTGGCTCTTCGCCTCCGCGCTGCCTCGGGCCTGCCCCACCCCTGCCCAGGTGGGCTCCTGTCCCCAGCACGGCGCTGCGAGGCCCTCCCCAGGAGCGAGTGGGGGACACGGGTCATCAGGGTCAGGCACACCCCACCCCGTCCCCGCACGCGCGCCCCAGCTGGGAAAGTCCCCGCCGGGACACCGCACGCCATGGAGGACCCAGTGGTCGGGAGGCGGGGCCTAAGAGCCAGCAGGAACCTGGGGAGCCCGGCCACACCCCCAGCCGTCCCCCAGAGCTTCGAGGCCAGGACAGAAAGCGAGGCTTGAGGGGCCCCAATGAGGGCAGCGCTGGCAGCAGAGCGCTGTGGCCCTGGCCTAGGCCACAAGCCCCATTCCCTCTGAGACAGGTGCCCACAGGTGCTCTCAAACCCTCCACCCACCTAGGGCAGCCCCCTCCCAGTCCCCAGCGACATCAGCAGCAACGCGGTCTTGGAGGTGTGATCACTTTATTCGGATGTTTGAGCAGTAGAAGGGTAGATTAATACCGATCTTTCCAAGTTAAGAGACCTAAGACTGTTTCCAAAAGACTTCAAATAAACTTCTCAAAGTACAAGGATAATCTGAATCATCTTAAACCAGCAATAAAAAAGTAAAATATAAATTTTTATTTAGAATTAAAGCAAATACTTCAGTATCACAAACACAATATTAAACTTCAAGAAATATACCGCTAATTTGGAGTGAGCATTTATTTGCACAATTACAACATGCGACAAACCCAGAAGAGATGAACGAGTCTGACGTTTCCACCCCCAGCGCAGCAGCGGCCACCCCACCCCGAGGTGACACCAGGGGCTGCCAGGGAGGGGCTCCGGCTTCCAGCCCCATCTCTAGAGCGGAGCACAAGCCGCGCTGCCGCTACTCCTCCTCGCCTGAGGACTCTCTCTCGAACGTGTAGGCCATGAAGCAAGCATCGGGTCTCTTGGGGACGAGGGGATGCCCCGGTCTCACAATCTCAAAGCCCAGAAAGCTGAAGGTGCGGAGCAGTGCGGCTGCGGGGTACAGGCCGTCACACCAGGGTCCGACAGGCCTGCCCCCCTCGCACATCCCCTCCCCCGGGGACCAGGAGGGGAGGGTGGCACCTACCTCTGTCCTCACGGTTCTTGTGGAAGCAGATGAAGACGTGGTCAGCGCGGAGCTGCTCCTCCGCAAACTCGAGGAGAACTGCAAAACTGAGCCGGCCCTCAGCATGCCCCACCGGGCCTCATTCCCACTGAGCAGGGCTTATCCTCTGGGGTGGGCACTGCGGGGTGCTGAGTGTGTCCCTGCCCCGCCCCACTCTCGCCCCACCCACCATGGCAACAGGAAAGAATCCCACAGGTTGCCCAGTGTCCTCCAGAGGGCAGGACTCCTGGGGGTGCATACTGTTGAAAAAGGGAGCCCCCTCCCCACAAAGCGGAGACCGCAGCACCCTCACCTGTCTTTGCTCCCCTCGGGCAGCGCGCCGCCTGGGATCTCGATGTACAGGCTGTCGCCGCGCAGCACTGCCCTCCAGGTGATGTGTTTGGCATCCGTGAGCCTGGTCTGGACGTTAAGAATCCTCGTCTTGCTGTTAGACGTTAGTTCCTCTGTTACATTCAGCCGATTATCCTGCGGGGAGACGCCAGGTCCCCAATCTTGCAAACCCTACTCCCACGGCGGGGGGGTGAGCCCCTCAAGGCAAAAGGGAACAGTGGCTAGTGGCAATTTGGAAAAGGCAGAAAAACACGAAGCCCACCCAACAGTGCCATGGTGGGGGTGGTGGAGGGATGGGGTGCAGGGCAGGGGGGGCCCCAGGGCTGCCACCTGTGCCCGGCCCGCCCGCGGCAGCAGATGCACAGGACCGTGGCCGCGCGGATACTCACGGAGTACAGTAAGTTAGCTGAAAGACTGTGATCCCGCTGGCTATTCCCTCGCCCACCTGGGATCTTCAGGGGTGGGTGAGGGACATCAGGAGCACCACCGAGGCCCCGGACCCAGGTTACTACAGCAACTGAGGGAGACCCTGGAACTGCAGGAAGCGGCCATCAGGACGCAGCCAGCTCGGAGGGAGCCCCAGGAGCCGTCCACCCGCTCAGCCTCGGCCGGGGTCCACTGCCCACCGCCCTGCGGGAACCGGCCCTGCCAAACACAGGGTCTTGCAGGAGGTGGCTCCAGCCGCCCCCGCACACACAGGAGAGGCAAAAAGACCTAAGACGCTGGCCCAACTCCACCGGGCGCAAGTCCCCCTCGACCACCTCAAGGCGGGCAGATGCTCACGAACCAGGCCCTCCAGTTTCACTTCCCCTTTCTAACTCCGGCCCCGCAGCTTCCCCTTTTGCACGTCACCGCAGCGAGAGCCCCAAGCCTGGCTGCTGCGCAGCCACTAGCTACCTGCCTTTCCAGAGAAGCCCCCGGCCTAGACCCTGCGTCGTTGAGACACCCGGGGGCTCGGCCGCCGGCTCCTAACCTGGCCGGGCGCAGCGCTCGCTCGGGCCGCCCCCCCCCAACCCCGAGCCTCCCGGTTGCGTCATCTCGGCAGACGCGCCCCGCGCCCCGGGGGAGATTTTCACAATCGCGCAGCCGACAGCGCCAGCAGCCATTTGCCGCGCGGCGTAAACAGGCCCCAGAATCGCCTCCATTTTGCTGCCACCCGGGTCCCCCCCAGCCGCGGCCCCTGCGCGAGGGCTCAGGCTCCGGTCCCCGGTCCCCACCGACGCCCACCTCGGGCCGAGACGCCCCCCGGGGAGACGCGGCCACGACGCTGCGAGCCGCACCACCACCACCAGCACATCGGGCCCGCGCCCCCGGGAAGGGTCGGCGCACGCGCTCCGGGGCGCTGTCCAGCCGCCGGTCACGCGGGGAAAAGCCGCGGGCGCCGTCTACGTGGGCGGCCACGCCGCGCGTCTTGGGCAACCACAGCGGCTCGCTGAAAACCGAGCCCACAAAGCCGGTCGCGTCCGGGGGCCGCGTCGCGGAGCCAGGGGACCGCGTTCAAGTTGGTCCACCTGAGAGGAGCTCGCGGCTCCTACAGCCAACGCTTGTCGGCGGCAACAGAAAAGTGCACATTCATGGGACCTGCGGGCCCCGCTCGGCCTCGGGCCAGCTGCCCGACCGCGACCCCGCCCCCACCTGCTTTCGCGACCTGCGTCCCCCAAATCCGACTGGACCCCCGACCTTGCCCGACACCCGACTACCTGTGCTCCCCAACCTGCCCCCCGACCCCACGTCCCTCTCTCAATCCAACCCCCAGCCCGCGCCCCCAGCCACGCACGCCTCTCCAAAATCAGCCTCCCTTTCTGCTCCGCCCAAAACCTGACACCCCAAGTTTGCCGTCAAACCCTGGGGAGACCTCGAGACCGGCCCCTCCCCCGGCGCGACCGTGGCCTTGAGAAAGGGGCGGATCTCGCGCTCCCGGGACGTATCTGGCACCCCGAGGCCGGCCCCCCGC